TTCTTTAGCTTTTACACTGACTCAGAAGGTCAAGATCCGAAATTTGTAGAACATAAAATGGTTTCTAGATGATAATTTGAGGTCTCGTTGAGGTTTTGTAATGAAACAAGGTGAAGACTCTCTCTAACTTGAGAAAGTTTGAGGCCTAGTTTGAAAGGTCTAGGTCACATATTCATGGTATTAAATAGTATAGGTTTGTTTCCAGATGATATCTCAGAGGTCATTTATCTTTTGCAAGAAAATTTCATGACAAATACCTGGCTTATAGAATACCTGATTTTGAGGTCAAAATGTCAAAGACAAAGGTAAAAAAAAATCATGTATTTCTTAAAATGGTTTCAAGATGAAAACTTTAGTTCTCCGAGAGCTTTGGGAATGAAACTTAAAGTGATGACTTTCTTTAATCTTAAAAAAAAAAAAACTCCTAAAGATTAAAAGCAATAAAAAGGGTCAAGTTCAACAAATTTGTGTCTGGAATGAAATGATTCACCTAAATTTCTTTGATATCTCTAAAAGTTCTTCGACTTTTGCGATGGAGATTTCAAAACTCCTTATAACTTGTAGAAGACTTCACTGGAATTTAAGGTCAAAAAGTCGAAAGCCAAGTTCAGAAATTCATGTATTGGTTTCTAGATGATAATTTTAACTCTTGAGTGATTTTGAAATGAAACCCTGTAAATTAAAAAAGACGTCCATAGAGTCTGAGGCCGAGAGTTGAAAGGTCACGGTCACAAATTCATATATGAAATGAATCACTTCAATACAGTCTAACTACAACATGACCCTATTGATTTTGAGGTCAAAGTCACAAGTTTGTATACTAGCTGTTACAGATTGTTTCAGGATAACATCTCAAATAAGGACCAAAAACCAGAAGTCTCTGTTGAGACTGTACCTCTATTGGTGTGCACTTATTATAAAGAAAGACTGGTATCTTAGTATAGTCTACTTGTGTAAAAATCTATTTAGTCCAAAAACTGTAGGAGGAATAGTACTTAAAAAGCAAGAGGCCCATGGGCCACATCGCTCACATGAGCACTTTGGCTAGGAAAAAGCAGAAATCAGTTCAGTATTGAGAAGTTTTATGTATAAGTGGTCCCAACCTATTAAGAGGATGGGTGGGGGGGGGGGGCATGATGTGAACTAACTTAAATTTACACTTACTGAGGATGCTTTAATATTTCTTTGACTATTAATGGCTTTTAAAGATTTTTAAAGACTATAAGTTTTATCTTCTACCCCCCCCCCCCCACCTGGGGTTATTGATTGATTTGAACAATCTTGAATCTACACTTTCTGAGGATGCTTCAGTTCTGTAATAATATGACTAATCATGGCTTTGCTGTTCTCGAAAAAAGGATTTTTAATGATCTTTCCTATATATTCCTGTAAAACTTTGATTCCCCATTGTGGCCCCACCCTACCCCCAGGGATCAAGATTTGAACAAACTTGAATGTACACTACTTGAAAATGCTCCCATATAAATATGACCAATCATAGCTCTGCTGTTCTTGAGAAGATTTTTAAAGATCTTTCCTATGTATTCCCATGTAAAACTGATCATCCATTGTGGCCCCTCCCTAAACCCAGGGGTCAAGTTTGAACAAACTTGAACCTACACTACCTGCGGATGCTTCAAGTTTTATTTTTTCTGGCCCACTAGTTTTTAAGAGGAATACATGTATTTTTAAACAATGTCATTAAATTTTTTCACTAATTCGTAATCATCTCCCCTTGGAAGAAGGCGTGGCCTTCATTTGAACAAACTTGAATCCCCTTTAGCCAAGGATACTTTGTGACAAGTTTGGTTGAAATTGGTTCAGTGGTTCTGCAGAAGAAGATAAAATTGCAATAAGATAATGCCGACGACGACAAACAACGGACAAAGAATCTGGGGGGATAAGACGAGCCATGTGCCCATGCCCATTTTTCGGCTATGCAAGAACATTTATTGGAAAAAAATCTCTCAATTGTTCGAATTTACTTAAGCATTTTAATGTTTACCGTAGTTTTCAAAATGATATTTATATTCTAAACAAGCTAAACAGTTGACTTTCATTTACTGTCACAAATGTCTAACATGGGTAAGGACTTCTATTAATTAATCTGCATATTGAGTGTTTACACTTATTGTGGAGATATTATAAAAATGTTAACATCGTATATAATGATAATGGTGATCTAGAAGCGCTGTTATTTAAAATAAATAAAACGGGAATAAAAGTATTCAAATATCTATTATAATTTTTATCCGGCATTTTAAATAATTTACTGTAAATAAGTTCATTACTACATGTATACATTTTATTTCCAGTGAAAAATATGTTATTCCTATAGACATTTTTTATAAAGAAAAACAAAATTAAAACCAAAAAAATCAACCAAAAAAAAAAAAAAAAAAAAAAATAATAATAATAATAATAAAAAAAATAAGAGCATGACTCGAACACTTTCCTCGGTAAACGTCCCTTTAAAGAGCTCATCGCTAACCACTAGACCACGGAGTCATACTAACATTTCCATTTAAATAGCATACAGTTCTCTATATTTAGCAAGCGTTTTTGGACTTAGAATTTTTTAAGACCACGGTGAAAATTTAAGTAAGTTAACTTAATTTTTTATGTAGAGTGGGTCTTCATACCAAATTTTTGCAAGTGTAAAAAGCAACATCTTTCCATTGCCTTTCATTAATCGTTCTCAAAAAAATGGTACGATGACCCACTCTATTTAAAAAATGTAATTATATAATCCAATTTATGTCAGTTTCTGTGAAAATTGAGCGTGATGCCATTTTGTTGTGTTAATCAGAATCATTTTCGCTGTTACAGTATTCAGGTTTTGTCAAATTTATATGCAAATGGTAATAAGCATTACATTAATTCAACAAAAAGTGAAATTTTTGTAAAATGAATTTATTGATTTTTTATCGATCGTTAAGTAGGCATATGGCTCGGCTTATCCCCCCAGTTTCTTTGATCAGAAAAGCTCATTTGACAGGAGCGGATCCAGGAATTTTTCACGGGGGGGGGGGGGAGGGGGTTTTTCCATCCCGGTCAAAAAAAATTTCCTTCCCAGAAATTTCTTGACAAGCCAAATAAAAAAAAAAACATTTCCCAGACGTGAAAAAAAACTATTTCGTGCTGGTGATGGTGGGGTTCACATTTTCTAGGAGGGGTCCAAAGTTATTCGTATTTACTTAAGTATAAACTTTTAGTAACTCTGCAAATTCCGGGGGGGGGGGGGGGCTCTGGACCCCCCCCTAGATCTGCGCATGATTGAGCCTTTGGCTCAGGTGAGCGCAAAATATGAATTTTCTATTTTAACCATGGCAACAGTTTGTCAAAAATCTCAGTATAGGCTACTTGTGAACTAAGACTTACTGATATCGGACCAAAAGTGGAAGAGGAGTAGCATTTAAAGACATTTCTATTTTTAGTAACCATGGCAACACTCTTTGTCAAGATCAAAAAGAACTACTTGTGCACCAAGTCTCACTGAAATTGGACCATAACTGTAGGAGGAGTAGCATTGAAAAGAATTTCAAAGAAACTTCTATTTTTAGTAACCATATGGCAACACAGTTGAGAAACGATATATAAAATTATGTATCTTAGTAGTCTTCTTATGTACAAAGTCTTATTGATATTGGACCAAAACTTTAGAAGGGGTAGCATTTTAAAAGCATTTCAAAGAAATTTCTAATTTTATTGATCAAGGCAACAGTGTTTGTTGAAATCCAAACTGATATATAGAATTATGTATCATAGTATAGTCTACTTGTGTAATAGGTCTTATTGAAACTGGACCAAACACTGTAGGAGGAGTAGCATTTTGAAAAATTGTTTACAGACAGATGATGGACACCATACCAATTCATAAGCTCTTCTGGTCTCTGACCAGTAGAGCTAAAAATAGACTGGTCTATGTTTTTAGTCCTAATTTGGTTGTAAATGTTTCAAATATCAAATTTCTAAAATATTAAGAAATTGTAAATGTTCTATCATGTTCAAAATGACATTTTACTGATATAGCCTAAACATGACTCAAGTTATTATTTCCATGGTTTTGAAAAAAAAAATGGTGGAAATAAAATCCTTGAATTAAATATTTTTTAAGGAATGTAACAAAAGCAGTGTTCTTTATTAAGAGTAAAAATAAACACACAAAATTGTTATGCTACACTTGTACAGAGTTATAAAAGATCAAGCTAAATGCAGAACAGGTGGTCAACTTATTAACTGCATTGCATAAGCTTTTCTGATCAACGACCAGCAGAGCAAGAAAGAGCATGTGTTATAAGTTAAAGCAGACTGCTGATACTGTCCTGTAAGAAATGACTCTTTTCACCGTTTCCTTTTTGTATGTTGCATATAATAAAATATTTTTCTCTCTAGATGAACAGCATATACCGGTATCAGCTTATCGGGGTCATTTGCCTCACATTGGCTGTTGTCACTTGTTCAACTTTGAACCTTGCTTGTGACCCTAGGTCAGCACAAAGGACTTGCCTCATTGGTTGTTTGAGGTGTCATGTTGCATATGGCCCGCAATTTTACAATTTGGAAGCCTGCTGCATAGACTGTAGATTAACAGGAGCACCTATATTAGATGACGGACCAGATATTTGTTCTGATAAATATATACAGGAAAGCTGGCTTATAAGATATGGTTGATATTCCTGTCAGAGCTCCAAGAATATTAAACATAATACATGTATTTTTGCCAATGAATATCTTTCACTATTCTAGGCCAGTAATTAGTGAAATATTTTGTGAGGGCCTTTTCCTGTCCAATGGAATAGACAAAGTGCCTAAATTAACGAAATCCAATTCTTAAAGAAACAAAGACGTTTACACAGGACATTGAAGAAATATTACTTTTTTTGAATAAATTGTATTTTAGTCACATTTCCTTTGTTTATATTTTCATTCTTTGTCCTGGAGTTGATTATATCTCTTTGGTGCCTGTCACACAAAGTCCTTATCATACACAGATGATCTGATAGTTCTATAAATTTTAATAGTGAATGATAATATGCATCGTTGTAAAACAGTCCTAAAAAGCAAAAAATAACAAAAATATATAAAATGTTAAAAGAAAATTCTGTATATCTTATCTCTCCTTTTCTGGATTCTTTCAAGAAAAAATTTACAGATTAATTTTATATATAATTCATACTCTTCAAAAAGAAAAAAAAATATGCTTCAAGAATTGTATCTTAGACATCAATAGTTCTACAACACTCAAGTACCAGCTGGTTTTTCAAAAACAGGAGCTATATAAAGGAGTTTAAAAAAAAACAACAGAGAAGAAAAAATTCACAAAGTACCAATAAAAAATGAAATTCAACTTAAGATTAAAGCATTTGATTTTGAGTTTCAGAAAACAAAAAACAAGTGTGAAACACAGACAGACAAACAATGGGAATTATAACAAGTTGCAAATTAAGGAAACAAGTGAATTAGTGTGCACACTTTCTTTGTTCAAGTTTTAGAGAAAGTTAATTGAATAGATACATGTATATTTCAGCTTTATAAAGAAACACGGCTAACTGTAAGATAATTAATAAACACATTTTCCCCTGCATTTTGGGGAACATTAAGAATGGCATGGATTTGCGAAGAAGAGGAATGCTTAGCACCATGAAAAAATAATAATAAACTACATACATTCGAAAATATTCAGTGACACATTTTTACGGAAGCTGCTGTATATTTATCAGTTTACAATTACATTGGAACAAAATCTTATTTTAAACTACAAAAAAAAGAGCAGAGTTTGAGAGTTGTAAAATTAAATGCAGTCAAACCTCATTATCTAAATCTCATTTTTGGGATTAAGAAAAAACTTCGAAATATCCAAAGGTTCTCGATATTGAGGGTAAAATACTTAAAGAAAAAGTGCTTGGGACTTCCAGTTCACTTTGACATAGATATTGGTGTTAGATATACCAATGTTCAGCTATACATCTGAATCTTTCCCTCATTTTGTTTCTACTAGTATATTATTTATTCCATCCTAAACTAAGCATTAAATTTACTTAAATCTTAAAAAAAAAGAAATCAAGAACAAATCTTTATCATCTTGCAGATTGAAGATGTTCTGTCGTATTAGAAGAATGTTGATTTTTAATATAATTAAATTCCAAATAATTCTCATAAATAACATAATACCTATGCAGTTACTGACTAGTGTATTTTGAAATACATGTAAAATGCATACTGTCATGTTCAATAATGGTTCTAAATTGGAACATTTCAAACATATACTTCAGTTAATCATCATTTGTGGAAAGCTGTGGAAAAACTCTCTTGACTGATTCATAAAAGTGAGACAATGCAAAAAACACTGCAGACACAAAACAGGCCAGATTGATAAATGATAAATCTTCATTTTGTTTCTACTTAAAAAAAAAGTAAAAAAGACTGCAGGGCTTTCACTTTCAAATCTCCATTATCTTGAAAATTTAAACATCATTAGATTAATGCTCTTCCTAACAAATTCTATGACACAACAATAATTTTATAACTCCTATACATTAAATATCACTGCATCAAACCTAGTGTTACATTTATCAAAGCTCAAAAAGGTACTCCATCCAATGGATTTTACACCATCACTACATTATAATATAATTCCTAGAAATGGTCTAATGACCTCCCATTAATATTGCTAATCTTACTAATCTCAGTATAATTTATATGACAAGTGTACATACAGTCTACAACAAAGCAACAAGATATGAGTGTACTCAATCCAGTTGAGTGTACTCAATCCAGATGAGTGTACTCGATCCAGTTTGTTTTATCACATGAGATCTCACTTCTGTTGCGGTTTGCTGTCCATTGAGTCGAGGCCCTCGTGAGGGGGAGGTAATTTTATATCGTTAGGCTCTACTCCCCATATGTCTCGTGCATACTCGGAGATTGTTCTGTCGCTGGAAAATTTTCCTGAGGAGGCAATGTTAAGGACACACATCTTTGCCCATTGTAGAGGATTCTGAAAGGAAAAGTAAAATTGAAATTCAACAAAAGTGATCCAGAGTTAATTAATGACTAATGCAAGCATACTTAGTGCAAGGTAAATGCGCATTATTTTTAGTTTTAATGAAATAAACAAAAATGTTTGGGAACTTATGATTTATTTGAATTCTGTAATGTTATACCTTGAACACTTCACTAACTCTGTCCTGGCACCTAATGTAATCTTCATAATCCTTCAGAAGACAGAATCTGAAAATATAGATTTGGATTACCTTTCCCCTCTCTTTGGCTCTTACCAAAAAAGAAATAAATTATCTTTCTGAATTGAGATTACTATTCTTTCTTTTGTACAAAGTTAAACATAAACTTACATTTTCAAAGGTGAAATTCATAATTTATCCATTGATACATGTATTTTCACAGACGTGTTATTTTCACACAGTGAAAATAATTATTTTCACTGTGTGAAATTATTTTCAAAAATAATAGTTATTTTAACACAGTGAAAATAACAAGTGTTATACAATGTTCATAATATGAGGCCATCATTAAAAAAAAAAAAATTTTTTTGTACTCCGACCAACCTTTTTCAAGATTGTAGGTAGAAGGTATCTTTTTAATTATCGAATACATTGTTAATCATCACAGACTTAGAAATTTCATTACAATGTAAGTAGGGACACTAGGAGACAGATTTTAAAATATTTATTGCTGTAAAATCTTTCAATCTAAAAAGTATCTTTGAAAAATGGTAAACCCTAACTTTAAAAATGATATGCACCAATCTGTGTTTCCACTGAAAAAAAATAATTAAGTAATGAAAAAAAAAAAGATCAGATTGGGTGATTTTGACAAGTCCGACAGAGTGCATCAAATAATTTTTTTTTTTTTGTTGTTGGCCTAATTTGGCAGCAGGCTAAGTCTACATAAGCCTACAAATATGCAAATATATATATATTTTTAAAAATGAAATTAGCCAAGAGTAGGGTTTGGGTACACTTATGTACATGTATCCTTTCAGCTTCTCATGCATCAGAATCAAAACCCAGTGCTGCATATGAGTTAACATATAGTGATCAAGGAAACTCTAACACTGTCAATAAGTCATTACCCAGGTACATACTGATCAAGAAAAATTCCAACATAAAGATAAAATGAAAAGAGTGGAAAAATAACAACGCTTTCTGGATACAATTTCCCTTTAATGAATATCATTTTATATCTTGTTTTATAAAAATAAAAATTTAAGTTTTTTGATTATTTTTGATCATCTCACGATATATTTAATGAAAGTATGAACCTACAGCAAAAGCTGTCTGCTGCTTTCCCTGGAAGAATTTTCATTCCATGACCAAAGAAATTTTGTGTCAAACCATGACTTAATCATGTTTAAAAAACTTTTGCATGAAGTGTGAGATTCCAAAATGCACTATCTATCCATTACACAGTAATGATTTTTATGAAAACTCTAGTCCAGTTGCATTAAATCCTGTCCCTCGTCATCTTGAACTCAATGGGACCTAGAAAAAGCTTCAAGATATCCAAGATATCGAGGGTAAAATTCTTAAAGAATAAGTAGTTGGGACTTCAAATCACTTTGACATATTCATGATATTCAAGATATCAATGTTTGAGATACTGAAGTTCAACTGTAATAATGCATTTATGAAAAAAAAAAAACTGTCTAAATGCCCTTGATTACGGATCAAGTCACATCATTTGATCGTGAAGCATCCTTCATAAAAAAATTGTGCTGCTTATGCTTTTCTATAACAAAGACTGAAAAGAAAGCACGACAGATATACTGAAACGCAAAAGAAACACAACATCCTATTTTAGGGGGAAATATTATATATAAGATATAATTTTGCATCTAAAAAGTAAGGGCATCTTCAACTTTGTAAATAACTGTAATTTAACTGTTGAATGATTTTCATACCATTACCGGAAGTTGAGTTTGAGTCCGCTTAACAGAAATCAAAAATTGCATGTTTGACAAAACATTTGGCAATAATATGGGGTTTTAAGGGTTTGTATCTGTTCACCATAAGTAATGCAGCAATATTCCGAAAAATAAATTCTCCTTTCTTTTCCGTAAGCGATGCCAAGGATTCCTGAAAATGACATAAGTAGGCATTTCCATTGCTCTAGCTGGAAAATCTCCAAAAAAGGTGATGGAGAGTTGCAGATGCAAATATGTACTACATCACACACCAAGAGGCTCTTACGTATCATTAGCATGAATGACAGTCAATGGACCAGAAGTCCAAGGGTTACTACACTGCGCTAGGCTAGAGAAAATTCTACCTTATTGAAGTCTTGCACACTGTAATTGAATGGCCGGGTAGGGGGTGTTTTAACAGTCATGTGTTACTTTCTAGAGTTAAAAGATAATCATTTAACATTTTTATCAAATCTCTGATGTTTTTAAATCGTGTTTTACCTTACTGTATTCATTTTTGAAAACCATTGGATAAAGAATTCAAATATTTGTAGATTAATGCTTGTTGCCTTTCTTTTACATTTCAGTATATAATGTACCAATATAAACCCTCTCTCTACCTCTGGCTATTATAATATGGAAACAAACTTAATTAAGTAAAAAGTTTAGCCATTATGTTTTATAATGATAAAAAAAAGAATGAAAAAAAGAAAATAGGAATTCACATTCTCAAGTCCCATAAACCTTTTTATCCATCCTAGACCAGAAGCTTTCACTTTTGAAGTTCAATTTACATAAACCAGACAACCGGAAATTTTGAACAGAAGCTCAAAATGAACCACACACATCATGCTTATCTAGATGTGTCAGTATGATACAAATGCCCCTGCTGGCATGCAAGTTTTAAATATTTTGAAGTCCAAGGTTGTGATAATAACAATGGGTAGAAATGAAACAAAAAAATGGATATCATATTGGTGCTTTTGTTTTCTTGAATCAGCTGTCAATACCACAATCTGCTTTAATTAGCTGCATGAACATGATGATCAACTATTAGCATGTAGTGAATCAAGCTAATTCAGGGAATTTATGTCCCCCGCTTAAGGACAAAATAAGAGGGTGGCAGACCTAAAAAAAAAAAAAAAGATGCAGATAGAAAAAACAAAGGAATGATCAATCTGAACCTTTCAACTCTTGCCTTTAAAATCAATTGGGATCTTTCTTCAGTTAGGGAGATTCATCACCGTCATCATCATTGAAGACTAAAAGTTATCAACTCGAAACCATTTGCAATATATGAATTTCTGACCTTGACCTTTTGACTTCTTTAAAGTCATATGGAGTCATAAAATTTAATTACAAAAGCTAATGGACTTTTTAAGATATGGTCTGCAGGGCTGTCCCTTGTCCCCACCTATAATGACATAATCCACCGGTTATTCTGGTATTACCCCTCAACCCCCTGTTAGTGGAGGAAACCCAGACACCCTTCTACTTTTCTAATGTCACCTGCTATTTCATTTCTTCCCTGGGTCTGGAAACTAAGTAAATGTGTAACTTACAGACAGAATGACAGAAAGATGGAGACCCAAAATATCCTCTGGCTTTTAGCAAATGGGGTACAGAAAGTCCAGAAAACTGTGAATAATTAAAAATTTCAAAGTCTAAGGGCAATAACTTTCATGAAAATGGATCAATTGATATGATATAAAAAGCATACTAAAAATCAGCTCATTATCTACAAGGAAAGCAAAAAATGTCTTGAAAACATTCAATAATAAGAAATTTTCAAAGTCTAAGGAATATAAGATTCATGTAAATGGACATGATACTTAAACTTGACCTGCAAGTCATCAATATAAAGAGACATTAAAAAAAAGCAGCTCGCAAAGTACAAGCACAACAATTAAAGTCTAGAAAACTATGACGGAATGACAGATTGATGGATGGAAAGGGGTAACACTATATGCCCTAACTATTTCATGGCTGGGGCATAAAATAAATAAGCCATCATCAAAACACCATGCAGAATCACACCAGACTACCTATCTGGCCACAAAACCAAGTTGTACAGATCCCGAAACTGATTCGGTTTGTCCGGGGAAAAGAAACCCGAGTTCAGCTGTTCAAGCAGCGTATGAAGGTCTCTGTTTGTCTCATAATAATCTCGGGGGTTGTAACTGAAACAGAAAGGAGACAAATTACCTGTCATTGTATACTAGGGAGTTATAAATATCATTGAACAATCCTGGTTCTTCGGGGGAGAAGAACCCTCCCTTGATCTGATCAAGCACCTGCTTCAGGTCTTTGTTTCCTTCATAGTAGTCCTGGGGATGGTACCTTGTAATGGAAAATGAGTTGTGCATTGTTATGTACAACAAACAATGTGTTTTCTTTCCCCTTTCAAAGTTAATGTCTAAATATTATGCAAATTACATGTCAATTAATATACACATGTATCACATAGTATCTAATATTATAATATTTGATTCTAATTTATGCTACCATTTCAATAAGAAAATAGTTTCTGAGGGTCTGCTTAAAATCAAAGTATAACATAAGACTGGACAAAGTCATAAAATTTCTAACAAAACTAAAATTTTGGGATAATATACATGTACATGTATATATACCAAGGTTCCCAAGTTCCCAAGACATGCAAAATGAAAACAACATTAATATGGGAGGTGTATATTATTGTCAAAAATAGACACCAAACAAGAAATTTGTTTATGCCAATTGTTTTAAAACTTGAAATATTAATGATACTCTAGATCATACATATCTCTGTGGGCAAACCATTGTTTTGATACTCTTGTTCTGGTAGTGAACAGACAACATTTAAGGTACAGCCAAAGGGATCTTAAGGGTTTGGACAACATATAAAATGTATTGCCAGTAAAGCCTGTGACTACTGATTTCCCAATCTAAACATCTTTTGGAGGTATTCACCTATCGATGCACATGAAGTTTGAGGACCATGAATCAAGTTGTTTCAAAGTTACTGATGTTGACAAAATTTGATACTGTTTTGAGAATCTTCATCTTGAAAATCAATAGGGCCAGGGTCATCAGCTCATCATGGCAAATTTGTGAATCAATTTTGATGTCTTTCAAAAAAGGATTCTTATGATATTCACACCATACATGGGTATGTCTGATAACTATTTATCATGGCCAATCTGTGTATATCTGTGAATATTACACACAGGATTCTCAAAATATTGGTCAAACAACAATGGTCTGCCATTCATAAGAATCATTAAGTACTGCTTCTTGGGGGGGGGATAAAATATCACAGATAATAAAACTGAAACTAAGGAATTTTGGGATGTTTGTACAAATTATAAACAATACAAATGTAATACTGTTTTCCGACTTCCAGTTTGTTTCTAAAATTTGGTGGGAACAATAACCAATGAGATGTACATTGTAATAAACTATTCTAAATAAGGAAGAGCCATTTATCATTTGTGTTGACACTTACTTGTGCTCTAGTTTGCTGCATTAATAAATGACAGTTTGTGGAATGAATCCCTCTGCATGATATAATATTTGTACACCTTTCTTCTGAGTAATTATGCTAAGGTATACTGAGAGAACTTGAAGATTTCAATAAGAGAAGGTTAGGATTAACAAAAAAAAAATTTAAAACATACTAACCCACTTCTCTTTAATTCCTCTACTTCTTCCACTTTCATTCCAAAAATGAAAATATTTTCATCCCCCATTTCCTCCCTCATTTCAACATTAGCACCATCCAGTGTACCAATTGTCAGAGCTCCATTCAACATGAACTTCATGTTTCCTGTCCCAGAAGCCTCTGTTCCTGCGGTTGAGATCTGCTCGCTCAGGTCAGCAGCTGGTATGATCTTCTCAGCTAAGGAGACACGGTAGTTCTCCAAGAAAACTACTTTGAGACGATCCCCAATGATTGGGTCATTGTTGACCACCCTGGCAACACTATTGATCAGCTTGATGATGAGTTTTGCAACATGATATCCAGGAGCTGCCTACAAAATGTTGCCGAACAAAATGATTGACCAATCCATATTTTATCATAAAGATTCTTTGACAAAGACCTAACTACTATAAAGCTTTATAAACTAGAGATTTCATTTCCAGTCCTCAGACTTGATAATCTTTCAAAAATATCTTTTTCACAATTAAAAGAGTTACAAAGGAACAAACTGTGCTATTTCTGCCATTCTACTTTATATATATAAAAATCACACACAAAAAAAAAAAAAAACAAGAAAAATACAAAATAGTCCAGTCCCTATCTTTTTTAAGGCTGACAGAAAATGCTAAACTTTGAAATGCAAAAATGTGAAAAGCAGTTTTCAAGAATCAAAATACCAGAAATTTTGAATCATATAAAATATTCATTATATTGCATTCACGATCTTCCTTTAACATAGCTTTCAATAAATCAATGGATCTAAGGTTCATAATAAGCCCATCTAGATGTATCTGTATATCTAGCCATTTAATGTGAAAAAGAGGTCAGTGACCTATTTTGGAGTCAAAAGATAGGTCCAAAAGATTCATCAACTAACAAGGTTGATAGTCCTAGGTCTCTCAGAAATTACCCAAAAAGATTTGACTATGGATAGCTTTAGAATTCCAAAATGAGGTCTCAGTGACCTACTTTTGTGAAAGATATGACTCACACATAAGAAAGCTATCACAAAGATAAATGAATGGAAATACCATCATGTTGCCTGTCAAAAGACAGACATATAAAAATGTACCTTTCCTCCGATCATGATAGTCCTTGGGACGAAAGGTTGGTTGGGGTCCCTCTTAAGGCGGTTGTACAGTGTAATGATGTGGAAGCAGTTCAGCAGCTGTCGCTTGTACTCATGGATTCTCTTGACCTGGATGTCAAAGATGGAGGATGTGTTGACCTTGACATTGTGGTTTTCCAGGATGTACTCAGCCAACTTCATCTTGTTCTCCTGTTAGATTATATAAGATTTCAATTACTGTGATTATGAAACCCTTTTTTATATTGGGAAATCATGAAATTTATTATCAAGCTTGAACAAAGACAATTTCAAGCAAAAAAAAAAAAATGTTGAAGTCATGAAAGAAAAGAAGCTGCAAATGAAGTAATTTCATTTATATCATATTTATTAAAAAATCAATAATTTAAAGTTCAGATTATCCCGGATGTAACTTGTTATTTTCCCTTCCCCAAACACTTCTTAGCTCAGGATCTGCAAAATTAATTTGCATTTAACATTTCAATACCAAACCTAACATTATAGACACCTGTTTGACTTTGATGATGTTTCTAAGGAAATTTTCATCCTCTGCAAATTTCTTGAGATTCTGCAGTTTGTACAGATCAGTAACCCATTCCTCTCCGATTTTCTCGGCAATGATGTCCGACAATCCTGGATTACACAGCAACAGCCAGCGACGGGGAGTGATCCCATTTGTCTTGTTCTGGAAACGGTCTGGGAACATCTCATAAAATTCCTTGAACCTATTGAAAGTACAAAGCAGGGCTAAATTGATAAGTTCAAAAATGTTCGTTCTAATTTCTTAGATACACTGTAAACCAACTTTTATTCATGTGCAAGAAATTTCAGCGAGTTTCACAATCTTCTTTTTCTCACAAATATTTCAAGCCACAAACTATTTATTTCTTTGTGAGTTTATGTAAAATAATACCTCAATCATGAAAACAAGTTGTCGAGTATAGATTTCAAAAAGACTAATCGCAATTTAAAGTTGTCGCAAATAAAAGTTGGTTTACAGTATCCGATTTCTAAAGAATTGTACATAGTTTTTCATGTAACATTTTTCATGCCATCCTTCAAATAGAGAATATGAAAGTGGATTTTGCAATGAAGAATAACACTTAATAATCCTCTACACACTACAACAATCTCAACTTACGTATCATTTTTGATGATTTCTGAGTGTAAAGCAGCAACTCCATTGACAGCATGTGAGCCGATGATGCTTAGATACGCCATGTTAATCTTCTTCTCTCCATCCTCCTCTACAATCGACATGCGTCGCAATTTTCCGTCGTCTCCTGGGTATTTTTTTGCAACTTCCTACGATGTCCAATTAAACAAAAATGATTTTTAAATGACTGTCCATTGTGAATAGTTTTCTAATTAAAAGTTTCTAAAGATAAACTAGCTGCCATTTTTGCACAAAAAAATATTTAGCAAGACATAAAAAATGAACAGGTTTCTATGTCATTTTTAACATAGCCATTGTATTTGGAAAGAGAATGCTTCCCTAAATATCTGTCCCCAAGTTTCCTCATTAAGATCTGAAGGGATTCTGATGAAATTAAGCAAGAATGAAGTTGTGCTTAAGAATAGGAACAACCAGATTTGAGGCATAATGAATATATCTGAAGATTCAGAAATACTATCTTTTGTTTTAATCCTGGGATCATGATGCAAGAAAGGTTGAATAAGTTGGGACCAACATATTTGTAAGGGCAGAGGATGTACTCTTTCAATGCTTTCAAACTGAATTTTTCAATCAATAGAAAACCAGCATTATTAACCACCTGCTTTGACTTTCATTTTTTACCTGTAGGAAGTTATAGTTGATGTAGTACATAATCTGTAGATGTCTAGGGAGAAGCTGCTCTAACATGGCCACTGGCCACCTCTCCAGGGCTTCAGGGAGGACAGTGTGGTTTGTGTAGGCAAAGGTTTTGACAGTGATATTCCAGGCCTTGTCCCACGGCAAACCCTCAATATCCACAAAGATCCTCATTAGCTCAGGGATAGCCATAGAGGGATGGGTATCATTCAGCTGAATGGCCACCTATAACAGACATACTATCATCAGTTTTTAAAAAATTGTGCTTGGTGATGCTACTTCCATAATATGAAAATATTCTTTAATTTAATGTGCACTAAAAAACAAAGCCTATGGGAGTAACACATTCTTTACTCAACACTGAACTAATTTCTTTTTTTTAAATGATGTGAGATTAAACTTTGAAATCACATCTCTAACAGTGTATTGGAAAATGGCCACATTACACAGTGATTTCCGTAATCTGTGTCATCAAAATTCTAATATGTGTAAGTGAGATACTGGTCTTTTAGAAAACTAGCAACTATAAAGATGAATGTTGATTCAATTTGAATGGAAAGGGGTCAAAAGTGAAAGTGTAATAAAAAGAAGTATGGAAATTTCATTTGAGTCCTTATAGATTGAAATTATGAAATTCATCTGAAGAATGGGTAAGTTTACCATTTAGTTACCAGTATACACTTAAAAGATCTGGAATAATTTTGGTGTGTTTCAATGCATCATTTCAAAGAAGAAAATTTTACTTCAAAAACAAATTTCACACAAAATCTTAAAATCTAATTAAAAAACATTTTAAAATGTCAATAAAGAGCATGCTGCTATTGAAGAAACGCAAAGGGGAAAATGAATGTATATATACTATATAATATACAGCAGTATACACATGATGTAGCATAACATACTAATATATATATATATATATAATCAAAGACTGCAGAGAAGTACATGTAAAGTAACATTTCATATGATGAAAATCTCCATTGTTCAGAGAAATTCTGAACACAAGTGTGAAATTTTTAGCTAAAACAACAAAAACAAATAAGACTGGTGTATTTAGTGGTCACTGAAATGAATCCACCCAGTTAGTAAAATAATTAGTACAAAGTTCAAGGAGACAAACCTTCTCAGCAAATCCCAACAGACAATGATTTGTGTCATTCTCCTAGAGAACACAAACAGGAAATCAAGTGCTATTTTACAGTTTTTGGAATACAACCAATTTCTGAGAGAAGATTGACAGGTGTCCCCATATAATTTGTTATTCAATATACAGTAAAACTCTGTGTTATAGTGAAGTCGTTGGGATCTATGAATTTACTTTGCTATATTCAGAATTTGTTATATCCATATAATGAATTTGTTAAAGTATATATAAAATAGTGAATTCATCATATACATGTTTTTCTTCTAGTATTATCCATACTAAATGAGGGAAAATTAAATAAAAAAAATTTACTTTGGAGTACTAATGTTTTCTGATGAATTGAATTTCAAATATAAATACTTACAATAAGACAAATTTTTCAGTTCAGTATTTTAAATTTTGAGATATTTAAAAATTTGTTATAAAAGATGTAAATTTCATTACAAGGTACATTTGTATTTTTAACCTCTACTGGACACAAAATCTTTATTCATAAATTTGTTATATCAGAGTTTGTTATAACTGAAAAATTTAATAACGAATTGATAAGAATTTGCTAGGGATCCCCAAAACTTCACTATATCTGTAAAATTGTTGATCCATAATCATACTAAATGAGTTTTACTGTATCGTTCATTTGTAGAACTATTTAGTACTTGTATAAATTGTGAGTTGTTTACATGGGATTTTATCAACACTATACAGTAAAACTTGCTTATTAAGAACTTGCTAGTAAAGAATTGTCCCTTTTAAGGAATAATTTGAAAATCCCAAGTATTTCCCTACATGTATATAATCTTTGGAGAAAAAAAAGAAAGATTACACAGAACTCAGTTATGGGATATAACAAAGAAAAAAAATTCCCAATGAATAACTTTAAAGCAAAAATTCTTTTTTTTATTGAAGTCTGGTCAGGGAAGGTGATTTTTAAAATTTATTTTCATATCTTCATCATTTTCTTACTATAGAGTTTGTTGTTTATGATGCATTATATATGTATTTTACATTTAGTGGAGATTATCAACTCTGAAAACAGCACTGAACATAAAAATATACTTAATCTACCCAGACACAAGAACTTCCTTTGGATACATCAGACTTCATTTAAAATGTTAAAAAACTAAATCTATAGGTCTTTAGGAATTTCTAATAAGCAAGGTTTACTGTACAACACAGGAGGGGATATGCTTCACTTGAGGAACCACATTGTTAGAACATTAAATACATATACATGTATCTACTAAAGCATTTGCAAAACGATGTGATGTTGAAATTACCTTATCTGGGAAGGACTCAAATGTCCTGCGCACAGGATCACGGCTGCCAAACTTGGAAGACTTGTAGCGGCGTATAATGTCCTGTAGAGTGGCTGCCACAAGGAAGTATTCCTGCTTCAATCGAAGCTCTTTTCCCACAAAGAACTGTCAAATGGAATTGAGGGTGTATATAAGATCTTTTGCATGTCCTTTGATAATATTGCTGTTAAACAAATTCACAAGCAAATCCCTCCTCATATGGAGTAATTTCCCAGAAGATTTACATTTCATTTATATTTAAAAATACCTACATTGTCATTAGGGTAGAGAACTTTGGAGATATTTTCTGCCTGATTTCTATCACACACAGCATTGATGTATTCCCCATTGTTAACTGAAATAACAAATGAGTTAATTAGGAAACAATATCATTTTAATATTTAATAAACAGATTCCTTCTTAAATGTTTTGCATAAGTTTTGGATATAAAGACTTGCAATGACTCTGACCAACAAACAGCAATGTTGATTCATTTCTGCAGTTGTTTCAAAAAATATGTGACCACATCAAAGGTCAATGTTGAATTGAAAAAATATAATTCATCCAGATATGGAGATGGAGGGAATGTCAAAGGAAAGTCAACTTTGTAGCAAATCATGAAAGCTACCCCAAAACATTATATACAGTCAAACCTAGTTATCTCGAATTGGAAGGGACCAAGAAAATACTGCGAGATATCTGAGGATTCCAGATATCCAGGGTAAAATACTTAAGGAATAAGCAGTTGGGACTTCAAAATGATTTCAACATATCCATGGTATTCGAGATATCTGTGTTTGAGATACAGAAGTTCAACTGTATATCTATATATATATAAATGAAACTATGTCTAGTAATAATTAATATGGTTAAATATTTACTTTTTATCATTTACTGTAACTGTCTTCTACGTCAAACAACTAACACATCCAGATACATTTTGTTGGCAACCCATACAGCATATTATGTCATCCAATATTTGTCAATAGATATAACAAAAGCAATTGAACAGGAAGTCTTTTGCCAGCACTTCTACATGTACATTATGCAGTGTGAAAATCATATAGATTATTCATTTTTAGATACTTTTGTCTTTCACAATTCCAGTCAAATCCTGTTATCTTCAACTCATCAGGGTGGAGGAAAAACAGATATCGAAGGATCTAAGATACTGAGATTAAAATATATAATCTAAATCTGCATAGTGTTCTTGACCTTTGAATACATTGTATTAACTCAAAGTCCGTTTGAATCTTGTTATCAAACCATTTTTAAAAGCAGTAAATATCCTACTTTATTATATGATTGAATAATTCCAGGCTCTCTGATTGGCTGAGATCCAACAATCTAGAAATCATACCCAGTTATGATGTTCCAGGTATGATATAATTGGTATTGAAAAAAAAATATTTCATCTGCACCCGACTTTCAGGTGAACAAATCCTTTATGTTTTTTTTTCTACTTCACACCAAACATAGGTGAAGAAATTCCAAATTAATGAACTGGTTATGTTCATCTTATCTTGCTTCTCTCACTGCATTTGGCTAGGATTTCAACAAATGTCAACGATCAAGAAAAATGGCAAGGTTTTCTAACAGAGATTGTATCATTTAATCATTGAATCATATAATAAGTCAAATACATGTACTGCTATTTTTTCAGCCAATACAATAATTAAGCCACCTCAAAGTACAACATTCACTTTGCCCTTTGTGCTTGGTGAATACTGTACTTGTCAGGTGGCTGAATCATCTTATTGACCTAAAAAAAAAAAAACAGCAATAATTTTATATTACTAAAAGCAAATCAATTCCACATATCTCATTTAGAGATGATTTTTTTCTTCTCATCCATGTCATGATCCCTTTATATGTGATTCATGACCTTGATAAAATAATGGGGATTTCTCTATATAAATTGCTATACATAGAGAATATGCTAATGTCCATCAGCCCATTAATTGTAAAACATTAATTAGACTTCTCTTTGCTCTAGATTTCTTTGTACAATGCACATCACCCAAAGCTGACTTGTAAATTCTGTGCGAAATTGCACACATTATACAAAGATCGACTGTATGAGGAATTGTATGTGTGCTTTTAGGTAATAACATTTATCACTGTGTTTTTGTACTCTTTATTGATAAACATTTTCAAAAAATAAACTTTAAAAGAGGTAAGAAAGGGGTTCAAGGAAAACAATGTTTTTTTTTAAATCTAACTCTGAGCTTTTGATGTTGCCACTTGAATTTTAATCTGATTGATTTATTTCGTTTTTTGTTTAAAACAGCTGTAAGCATTTTTTTAAGTGAGTGCTTATAACAGTATAGTGTTTACAAACAAGTTGTTTCCTATGAATCACAAGGTCTACCAGACAGAGATCATTAGTAAATACACCACAATGACACAGATCCTCATCTTTGTTTTAACACATCCTGACAGTCAGATTAAAAGCTGATACTTACTTCCTGTTTAAGCAAACTCGACTTCCTGATTGAGACAATGACTTACAGAAATGAAGATTAAAGCTGTTAGGGGCCTTTGCTGACCACAGGCGCATGGTATTGACAGTATTGTTGCCGTAGCCAGGTATAGGGGTGTCGTAGGGCATAGCAAACACTACCTGTAACAGAAAAAAAAAAACATTTGAAAATTACTGTGGAATCATCATTGTTCGTGGGGGACCAATGTTCGTGGATTTCATGGGTCACCCTTACACATGAACTTACATCCCCATGAACATTTATTCTGTAAACATATTGATTCATTGAACCACCCTATAAACGAGTAACTCACGAAATTATATCCCCACGAACAAGCAAAATTTTGCTTGCTCATGAACATTGACCCTCATGAATTAAAATGATTCCACAGTACTTGTCTCTCTCTGTTTGTCTCTCTTTTTATTAAGTATGAGCTTAAGCAAACATAACAAAGAGGCCCATGGATCACAATGCTCACCTGATTCACCATTCTCCTCCAGACAATTAAATATGTACTTGTCCATAAATGAAACCTCTTATTGTCCTCTTCAAATTAAAGTCCGTGACTAGATCCATTTTAATTTCAGGTATATTAAGGCTTGATGTCAGATTGTAACGATTTATTCTTGCAGATGTCTTTAGATTTAGATTTCTACATAAAACACTTTGTTCCCCAATTGTGGCCTGACCTTCTGTGATCATTCTTTGAACAAATTTGAACATAAATGTATACTGATAAATGTCACTTGAGAACATGATTTTAATTTTTTCCAGTGTATTCAGAAGTAAAAAACTTTGACCCCTTGTTGTGGCCCTGTCCTTGCCTCAGAGGTCTCATGATTGAAACAAACTTGAATTTACACTACATGGGGATGCTTGTATATCTATGTAATGCTTGTATATAATTGTAGTCCTGGGTTCTTTGAAAAGATTTTCAAAGATTTCTTCCTTAATACAAATACATGCATTTTCATAACAAACTTTGGCCCCTTTATCAGCCCCTTTCTAGTTCCAGGGGGTGATTTTAACAAATTTAAAACTACACCCATTAAAGAAGCTTTCACAAAAGTTTTGTCTTGTCTGGCCAGTGATTCTTGAGAAGATATTGAAATGAGCCCATATTATCTCCATATTTCTTAATTACCTCCCCTTGAAAAGGGGTTTAGTCACCATTTGAACAAACTTGTATCCCCATTATGCAAGAGTGCTTTGTGGCAAGTTTGCTTGAAATTGGCTCAGTGGTTATTATGAAGTCAAAGATGTAAAAAGTCAACAACGAAAGACACACAACTTTGATCAGAAACTAACTGCAGTTAAATTAGACTATGTATTTTTAGATTTAGATAACCTGAGCTGAAAGGTGCAGAGTTAATGTAATTCAATCTACTAGTTAATACTGGGGACCAGCAAAAAGTTGTTAATATTAAATTATGTAGATAACTTATTTTCCTTAACTGATTTTACAATCAATGTACTGTATAAACACTGCAACATTTGATCACCACATCATTGGACAGTTCCAATTCTGTATAATCATCATCTGTTTCATTCATCATATAATAACTTTATAACTGCAGTTTGTTGATTACATTACATGCTGATGTAATTGTTGTTCTTGGCTGGATTCCACATACCAGTACAAATCTCTCTTTTTAGATCTGATATTGCACAATGTGTCAGAACAATTTACACTCTGCAGAGTATTTAATCTCTGCTTGAAATTTCTTCACATCAAATTTCTTCTCCAAACCAAGTACAAACTCAACTTTTCTATCAGTGCAAATTTCACCGGTGTTCTTCACACACTTACCTGACAAGTTTAGAAACATACAGACTCACCTGTGTGTCCACCCACTTGACCCCGGAATCAGTGGTTTCTGTACGACCATAGAAATTGATTGGTAGTACATACTCAGGCCTGGCCTTCTCCCAGGGATTTCCATATCTTAGCCACTCATCAGGTTCCTCCACCTGCAAAAGAAATTACCAAGAAATACAGCCATCAGTGTTTTATTCTCAGAGTAAATGTTTAAATGGACCTCAATGCTCCCAAAAATGAGGCAATTAACATACTGTATAAGCAGAACTGCTGGCGAGGATTCAATTTTAGCATTATTTGCAAGGGTTTTGAGATCCCTAAAACTGAATATTGCTGACAATTTATTCTGTATGGGTGTTTTAGCAATCTTTCTTGACATTATAAAATTGCTAAAATTACTTCTCGCTAAAAATATATATCAATTTTTTTTATAAATCGCTAAATTTGCATCACACAAAAAATTCCTTTTATATGGTATGTTAATCTGACAGGAATGAGTTGTGGTGGACAAAAAAAACCAACAACAACATTATTTGTACAGTAATACTGAAAATGATATTTATACAACAGGGTTTTCTATATTTTGTAACAATTGTGTTTTGTTTTTCATATCTACCTGCCAACCATTTTCAATTCTCTGGGCAAAAATTCCGTAGTCATATCTGATACCATAACCATATGCTGCCAGACCCAGTGTAGCCATGGAGTCCAAAAAACATGCTGCCAAACGGCCAAGTCCACCATTTCCTAGACCAGCATCCTCTTCTATCTCTTCCAACTCCTCAATGTCAAGGCCAATCTGTCAAATCAAACAAGAGGTCAAGGTTGATATACCAAAAAAAAAAAAAGAAGGAATGGCAACAGGATTTGGTCAAGTCATCAAGAGATCAAGGTCAAAGACCCATACTGTCAAGCTTTTAATCTGTATAAAAATCAAAAGTCAAGGTTATATCCCAATGGAAATTAATGGTCATAATCAATTAGTCAAAACAAATGCATTAGCAAAGCAAATCTGCAAAAGGAAATAGTCTAGTACAAAAATTAAAAAAAAAAAATGGATTCTTAAAGATTTCTTGTATTATTTTTATGTCAAATTTTGATCCCCCTTTTGTGACTGCATTTTTGCCCCAGGAAAAATGACTAAACCAAATATGACTCTATATATGACAATTATGTCAGACTAACGTTGGACACCTTTAGTTCAGAAAAGTTAACATTCAGCTCAGATGAGCTAAAAATAAAATGGTCACAAAAACAACTTATCATTGAAAAAAAAACCAAACAAACAAACAAAATAGAAACATGCAGTTATGAACAAAAAATATGTTTCTTATATTAACTTCCCTCTTCTACAACAATGAAACTTCCGGGGATCTGATAAAAATCTACATTAACTTTTGAATAATTCCTTGTATATCGATCTCCAGTGATAATGTTCAAGACAGAAAGCTCCATTGAGCTCTTAACATATAGACGTTTACCTGATACAGGGCCTCATCACAGGCACTTTGAATGCCTAGGTTCACCATGGTGTTAGATAGGGTTCTTCCCATGTAAAACTCCAGGGACAGGTAGTACACCCTCTGAAATTATAAATATCTTATTGTTACTATACACTTATTTTTATATCTGTATAATATTATTGACTGTGTAGTTGGGAATTCAGCTTTGAGTATCATGGTTATTTTCTGAAGTGTTCTAAATCCACAAAATAATGACTTCAACACACATATTTTATTAATTTAAAATTAAGATGAAAACTGTAAACATAAATAATGATTCTTCATGAAAAAGATAAGAAACATTCTGTAAAGATTCAAAATCTTTTCATTACCAACAAAAATGTAGGTGCTTTTATATATTTGAAACTCACATTAAATAGTAAATTTAGAGTATGCACTTCATCAAGTGTCATAGAAATCTCTTTTCAACTCAAAATTTTACACAAAGGAGTCTGACTGCAAAATTAACTATATGTTATAAATTAACTGATACACATACTTGGTCAAATTGATTTATTTTTTAAAGTCCTGATTATCATATTTTCTGAATAAATGACCATGCAGATAGAAGTTTTTGAGCAGGTCCATTCCTAAATAATGTTCTTTGTCAATTTGCATTGACCAAGGTTAGTACTGGTACATAGAATTGTTTCGGTTGAGAAAGCTTAGATACTGGAGGTAACCTACATTATATGGATGAATAATCAGGTCAAAATATATTTTAAGCAAGCCAATTACCAAATAGCCACGTCCTATTATTCATATAGGGTAATATCAAGTTCCTCTCCATTCCTTAAGAGAAATAGATCCAAGGCCCCCACAGGACTGAGGACTATTGCTTTTAAGGAATGGAGAGGTAAAAAAAATATTTCCTACTTAAAATCCACTTTTAAATAAATGGTCTTAATTTTGCTTATCTTTATATGATACAGATATGTTTTAATTAGAATACATTCAACTAATATGTGTAGTTTTATACAGTAAGCTTGTTGTGGAGAGTCCCCGATTTACCTGGTGAAGGTACCAGGTTCGATACCCAGCAGTGCCACATTTTTTTCTTATTAAAATATAATTTTATATTATTTTCTAAGACATAACAAGCTTAGCACCAAGAGGTATGAGTTGCACATAATAAAAAAACTTGTGTTGTCAGTGTTATTTGCAAATCTCCATTCCCAAAAAATAATGGAGTGCTCAAACAAAAGAATTATGTCACAAGAGGATTTAAATATATTTACCAGTCTTGTATAAAAAATACCATGAAGAATGCTAAATATTCTTCATGCTCCAGAACATGAAAAAGAGCTATAATATATAAAATTAAAATTTTAAGCCCAGGTCAATTCCCTAGCAATTACTATAAGACATTCTGTGCAGACCAAATTTGAATCAACAAAGGAAACTGGTTTAGAATAATTTTCTGGGCCAGTCTGAAAGTAGATTTTTTTTCAAAAGTCTTCACTTCATTTATAGCTAAGGTGGGTATTTGTTACTCCTTACAGCATTGTAAAAGCACACACTATACCAATACATGTACATGTATGGAGTAAAAGACTTAGTCTACAATACAGTTGAACTTCAGTATCTTTAACATCATCTTGAATACCATTGATATGTTGTAGTGAGTTGGTGGAAGACCCAACCACATTTCCTTTATGTATCTCACTCTCAATATCTCAAATCCTCAGATATCTTAGTTTTTTTTTTCCTTTTGGTTCTAGATAACAAGGTTTAACTGTGCAAGTAAATAGTGGACACACACAAAGTTACTACATTACACTGATGTAAAGTGTGCTTATGATATGGTTTATATATCTTTTTTAAAAATCATGTCCTGATACACATCCAAAAGACTTACAAGTATCTGTTGATAATACCAAATACCAAAGTAGACTGCATTTGAAATTATATAACAATTTTTAAGTACTGAGTTATAATCAGATGATTCCAAAATTCAAGATTATCTACAATGATTACCATTTTACAACTTATAAACTTCTACAAACATATAGTTTAAATGAGTGTTATTTTTTTTGTAATGTGCAGTACAACATTTGCTTAATTAATTTTTTTACATGTCGTTAACTCCATCAAAGTGACACTGATGCAAAGGATGTTTCCTTGATCAGCTTTGCTGGGAAGCACCTTAATAGCATCACAAAGGATAAGAAAGCTATCTAAACCACAAAGTATCTAGTTTTTGTCAAACAAAGTGCGTTTCTTATTTTTAAACTCCAAATAAAATCAAAGTACTCAGGAGTACAGAGAGCCGGGCTTATTTATAGAGCAGTGACCAGTACCGTTTTACACGAAACATACATGGAATAACTGCTACATAAGAATTAAGTTCAGAAATATCATTTTGCGAAAACTTATTAAATGCATTTAAGTTTCTTAAAACACAGGCAGTTTTTTTTTAATCGTCTCTGTATATAACAATATACCTGTATAACCTCGGTGTCAGGATATCACATTACGTTACCCACATCTGATTTAACTGGAACAACATTCTGCAGATTATTTTGTTCGATATTTTCAATTTGCAGTTCGCAATACTATTGTCATCTGTGATTATTTTTTCCCCTTCTTTAATTTTAGTTTAATGTGCTAAATATTGCAACATCCAACCTAGTAACAAGAGCGCATATACTATGCACGCGTGGCGAGGCAGTGAAATTTTCCATCATTCTATAAATAGAGGTTGTCTTATCAGCTAAAAATATTTTGATTGTGTCGCACGTGGCCAGCTAGTGTGCACAAATATATACGGCAGCAGAGGTTACGTTCACTCTCACACAGGTATTAAGCTTGCCTGACGTAAGAAAACAATATATTTCTGATATTTGAAAATTTGAAAAGTTTAACCAAGCGTCATCATCAAGAATTATTTAAGAACAGGAACTGATCTAATTTGAAAAGCGTAATGGTAGAGACAGGTAATGTTTACATTGGCGGTTGTTGGGTTACCATCCGGTGTACTCCTCCGAGCTGAGAAATGATCCCGAAAGCCAGGTCATAGCTTACGCTATGGAGCCCGGCTAAAAAACCCTTGGCCTTTACACATTTATCATGTAACTTTTAAATAGAATGACTGGTACTGTATCTGATCCCTTTGGCTTCAATTAGATCATTTGTTAATTTACAGTACTGAGTAGTATGTAAAAGTATAAGCAGTATTATAGGTCTAGCAGTAATTTTCTGAACTCAGTAACCTTGACAGATTTTATAAATAAGAAAATGAGACCTTTTAAAAACTTAAGAAGACAATTTGCTTCTCATACACTTTACAGACCTCTAGTTTAAGCAATAGGTTGATAACCTTTTATTTATGGACATTTTCACATTTCATTGCTGCACAAGATTTAAAATACCTGTATTCTCTGCAAGTTTACAGATTAAATTCAATATTATATTGGGTTTCAATAAGAATAAAATTTACCAAAGGTGTATACTTGGTATGTTAATGCATTGAGGGTTTACTTTCTGAAACTTGCTATGCTTTAAGTGCCACAAGGTGTGCAGTAAAACAGATTAATGTCAGCAAATTCTATCAAATCAATTTTTCTTTCTTAAAATTGCAACTTAAATGTTTTGCAGAGCTGTTTAATGAACATACTGACATTTAAAGAAAAGCTCTGCTTTATACATGCACAAGTATGGCAAATTATATTCATGATTCCTACTAGTCCAAAATATCTGACGTTTTCTAGGCTTTTTTCACGATTTTGATATTTTATGTGCCAGGAAAACGTCAGAAACGGTGCCATTACGAAAACTGGAAATTTCGCCATCTCCAACCAGAGTTGATTTTCGATACTTGCGAACCAAATTATATGCCAAACTCACAATTTGTCAATAGCACAATGCTTCTAGTACTCACCGATATCGATGAAAAGAAAATATCACTCCACATTTGATACAGGACTTGCAAGATTTTAAAATGTACGAAATGACAACAAATCTCGACAGTCAGAAAAAATGTTTTCATCGGATTATATATTATACAAACGAACCATAAAAACGATGTTGGTGAGTTTAAAAAAGTACTGTACTATTGATATGTTGTGAGTTTGACATTTAATTCGGTTTGCAAGTATCCAAAAATCAACCCGAGAATGCCGCCTCCGGTTGGAGGCGGTGAATTCCCAGTTTTCGTAATGGCGCCGGTTCTGACGTTTTCCTGGCACATAAAATATCAAATCGTTAAAAAAGCCAGGAAAACGTCAGATATTTCGGACTAGGTTCCTACTAGACATTTCATTTGCAGAAGCAAATTGTATTGTCAAAATCTGTGCAATTAAGCACTTACGTGTTTCAATCTAAACTCTGAATTATTATCAATTTTTGTCAAGTAAAACTTTTACTTTAATAATCAACACAAATAATGGAAACACAACTCCCAGTACATGTAACATATCACCTTTATAGAAAATGAAGATGTGAAATTGTACATCAATACTATTTCTGGTATGAGTTGACAAGTGACGTGGGATGTTTTATGACTAGTTTCCTTGCCACTGTCAAGTACAACAATTTCCTTCCTTTTCTGATTTCAATCACCAATGATTCCACTGATTCATTCCCGCTACAGCAATTCCTTACTGCATCTGAGCACCATAATCCACTGGTTCTTTTTCATTGACCAATATCTTTTCTGAATATCTATAGCTGGGATGGCTTTAATTTAAGATAAAATCAATTGTCTATGTGAATATATATTTTTCTAGCTACCTATTACTGTAAAAATCTTGATTTAACTGAATATGCATTTATTCATTTATCTTTTAAATCTTGTTATGATGTAGTCTTCATACTTCATTTAGTCTAATGTACAGTGTATACTCAATCTGATGAATTTCTGTTCAAAAGGAATCTTATGCATTATTTAGTAAAGAGCACGGAACTCCGTGAATTCTTCTGCCTCCTCTGTATAATAATTCTACACATTATTGGTACAAATCTAGAATATTTTTCCATCAATTATTTGGTAAGAATTTTTCCTTTTGAGAGAAAAGACTCTCCTTTCAAAAAAAAAAAAAAAAAGCTTGGATCATGCCAAATATGGCAAGAAATCTTTTTGTAGTATTAACCTGAAAATCCTGATATGGAAGGCATTCTATCCACTTCAGATGACAAAGAAGCTTTCACAACATCAGTGTGCTTATAAGCATAGAGAGAATTAAAAATCTAAGCCTAGCCATCCTTTTTTTTAACGTAACTCATAATTTACAACTTATATATCTTTACATGTATGTACTACATTTTATGATATATACGGTACATGTATCTCCCTATTGTTCTTGATACTTGTAATAATGAATTTGAAATTGTACTTCTCCTGTTTTGTATTGTGGAATTGAACACATTTTGTCTAGTAACCTAAGCCCTATGAAAAGCATTTTGAAATAGCAAACACATCATTCCGCAAAATATAAAATCACTAATTTCAGTATAAAAGCACTTCGATTTTTATCAATAAGTAAATTAAACAAATCGCTGAAAAAAAACAAAACGTCAAAAAAAAAAAAAAAAACTAGATACGCCTCAATGAATATAATTTTGTATACATGTGACATTTTATAAGATGCTCCTACTTCAAAATTTCATCATTATACAGTGTTTTAAATACACATTAGGAAACATAACATCTGAAGCAGGACTCACATAAATGTATCATTCATTTAAGTTTGGTCCAGAAAGGGCTCAATATGGCAGACACAGTATCAGAGGCATATGAATGGTAATAAGCATTCCATGATGCATCATTCATGTATGCATCACCATCAATGTTGGACTTGAGAATGAACCTGCTTGCCTCCAAAAATCATATCTGATAACTCTGAATATTCTGTAAAATCTATAGGCCAAATACAGCATCAGAAGCATAGCTATTAGTAAATAGCTGAAATGCAATATTCATGCATGTTTGGTCCTCATAGGGGTAAATAGTTATTAGGGAATGAATCATTTAACAATCAATGCAGGCTCCATTGCAGGGATTATATTAAATCTCAACATTCAATTTTGTTGGGCATGTTGAGGAAAGCTAAAAATACCCTCACTCTTTATGTAATATAATGTTATATACCATATGTGCAACAGTATCCATTTGGAACTGGGGTTTTAAGAAAAGTCGTAACTAACCCAATATTCATAAAGGTTAAAAAATGATTCTTCATGCTGCCATTTCCAAAAATATTTAATACTTCATATCTCCTGTGGTCACAAAAAGAAAATTCTCACTCACTAAGACACTTTTATTTTTTATCTATTTCTTTCTTCTTCTTTTTTTTAAAGTTATAATAATAAATATGAAACTAAACTACACGTTAATTGAAATATTTGGAGTTACTGCCCTTGTCTTCATCAAACCTCAATTCTAGTCAAAGAGGGAACAAGATGTACCTTTTTTATTAATATATGATTATCTTTTTTAAATCTGACAATAACACTTTTTTCAGTAAAAATCAGAATTACACAATATTGATAAATGTAACAGGAAATAAGAAAACATAATCATGGACAAGATATTTAAAGGTTTTGAGACTCTAGATGCTGACCATCCATGAGCTGCAAACCTGCATTACTGCCACATTCCTCCCTACTTCAATGTCTTCTCTCCCGAATACACCTACCCAGGTTCATCCACGGGCAGGTCTATCACTTGTCACATCCAAGCACAGCACCAAAATTAATGAAACAGGGAGAAAATGTGACAGACCAGTCAAGGATTCAAACCCAGGCCCCCTGAATTCTAGACAACCAAATGAGCTATCTGGTCATCAACACCGATCAATGAACGAACCCATATGACTGCCACAGTAAATGTACATATACAGTCAAACCTCGTTATCTCGAACTCGATGGGACCGTGAAAAAACTTCGCGATATCCAAGGATTCGAGTTATCAAGGGTAAAATATTTAAAAAATAAGCGGTTGGGACTTCCAAATCACTTCCACATATCAATGGTATTCGAGATATCAGTGTTGGAGATACCGAAGTTCAACTGTATTACATTTGCTTATCTCACTGAGCATTAGATAGAACGTTCCATCATTAAAATGATATTGTCCTACGGACCCGGTTTAACGATAGAATTTATTCCGTGTATTGGCAATGTTGCAAAATAAACAGGGGCGATAACTCAAACTCTGTGCATTTTCTATGAACAATCCAGAGAGTTCCGAATGTCATACATGCCAACTTTCCCGGTTTTTTCGGGAGTCTACCGATTTTTAACCCTACCTACCGCTTGTCTACCGATATATTTTTTTAATCCCATTTCTACTGATTTTTGGGAATTCCAGATTTTTTTCCGATCCGCTTTGAATAATATCACATTTCCGTGTGAAAAAAGATGGCAGTTTGAATGTTTATCGGTAGATATATCTGTTTATTGCGGCTGATAACAGGTAATCAACAAGGTGTCAAAAGTGCTACTAGTCATTACTGTGGTTTTAATTGCTCCCGATTCTCATTAACAGTGTATATTAACCTAGACAATCATGCCAGATGTGGAAATTTTAGAAATATACACGACAGAATACAAACTTGTGACAAGTTCACACTTTACAGCAAAATTTGACAATATACGTATAAGCTGTTAATAAAAGGTTTTCAAGTTTAGGAAATATGGCAATTCTCACTATAATTACGAACTATGTCATTTATCATGGAAAAGACACTGCCTAAATCCAACTTGAAAAGATGCGTCTGCAACATAGGCACTATCGTCTGCAAGTACAAACCGTTAGTTTTTTTTTAGCAGAAATCCAGGAATGGTTCACAAAAAGTTAGAAAGGAGAAGACGTACCATGCCTTTTACAGACTTTGTATGAAAACATTAAAAGTTACTTCTTCTTAGTATTCCCTTTGATTTAAACAAATTACAAATTATTTGTCTGTGACTTGGTAGCTTTATAAAATGTGTAATTTACCAATAGAAAAAAACAGTAACTGCATGAACTCTTTTAGTAACTTGCTTTAGCTTATTTGTAATTAAGTTTAACATCCTTATCCATGTAATAATCTGTATGTGTATAGCATTGCATATGGCAGGGGGGTAATGTTTATCTTTATATTTATTAACATATTAAATAATTTTGATTAAAATTTTCTTTTTTAAATTTCAAATAATGTGTTTTTGTTGAAGTTGATAGAGAAGAAAACACTATGAAGTAGTGATCATAATATATGATACAAGGTATTAGACTGATATTTGAAAAAAACCCAACAAATACTTATTTTCACGACAAAATGCCGCGTATTTAGAACTTTGAAAAATGTCGTTACGCACAATCTCCCCCAAGAAAATTTTCAAAAGTTGGCATGTATGGAATGTCAACATGGCATTAAATTTGAAGCAAGGAAAAAACGTTGAGAAAATGAGTTGAATTTTCGTATTTATATGGATTATTTTTTTAAAAGGCATATAGGGTGAGTTAACCATGCATCGGACACATACCTTGCTTCGGACAACTTTAAGCAATAAACTTTCATTGAACCTGAGTATCCCCGTGTTTTTACTAGTTTCTGTCTTGAAGGTGAAGATTTAAACTTTTTAATGATGCCGATTTTTAGTTTCATGCTGTGAAAAAAATACCACAAGAATGGCCTTGAAATTACGTCATATTTTGCATCATCAAAGGGGAGTAACCAGAATTTTACGATTTTGCAATTTTTAGAGTTGTCGTTCTTTGAAATAGACTTCAACGGAACGAGTCGGACCTAGGTAAAATTTGTCAAAGATTGATAATTGTAAAGAATTTCTTTAAAAAATTTTACTTCAACGTTTGTAGAATATTTTTTAGAGTTGTTTTTTACTAGTATGTTTATTTCACCGTACATCGGACACAAATTAACCATGCATCGGACACTTTCCGATGCTTGGGTTATCACTTCCATTTTCATATAAAACCTAAATGACAGCTGTTTTTTGCGGAAATAGAAAATAAAAACTCTAAATTTTCAGTGAAAATACAAGTTATCGATATATGACTACTAGAAGTGAACTCAGTTTATTTTTTTAAACTGGATGATGATAACCCACGAGAAAAAGGCGCGAGATGGCATATAACTAGCATTGTAACGCCTTTATAAGGTGATGTGATGCACCTAAAATCTCTTCATGTTTGTGGATCAAAATAGTCATTCAAATTTAATTATAAGGTTAATTTTTAAATAAAAGATAAAATGTTTCGACATTACTAATTTTAAAGCACCGAGATCAAGGTATGATATTTTTTCGGTTCAAAATACCGTATGTCCGATGCGTGGTGAATATTGTCCGAACCATGGTGAAATTTGACTTTTTTCGAAAAAATCGTTTTTTAGTGATATTTTCTCAATAAATAACACACGATTGTGTCAAAAATTTATATTTTAAGCACATACTACATGTAAAGCTCCATTTTGATAATATTCGGTGGTTAGCGATATCGCTAGATCTTGTTGAAGTGCGAGGGTGTCCGATGCATGGTGAATTCACCCTACAATCTCAAAAAGGTTTGTTATGATTAATTTGGTTGTTATTTTCAGTGCAACTCCTTTTGTATTCTTCAAAATCATTTCGGAGTGGATCCACTCTGATTTGCTACATTGCAAGTATATGGGACGTATTCTAACTGTGGTGAGGCCTTGTCCCGAGACACAGTTAGATTATTCTAACTATTTGAGCATCAGCACAAAACTATTTTCATGCCTCTCTATGAAAATTCAAATTGATTGGAATTCAATTGTCATATTTCTTCTGTTGTGCTTCATAAGTATATTTACTGTGTTTCATATTTAGGCTTGGGGAATGATGAATTTAATTTTCATACACTGTTTCAATACTTACTCAGCACACACCATGCACCAGCAGGTGCCTGGTGTTGTCTTGTCTGCAACAAATAAAATTGCTTACCTTAGGGTCCTTCTCATAGTAATGCTGCTGGGTGCGGATCCAACGTCCCACCAAATAATCTCTGACAGTGTGTGCCAGCGAGAGGTAATAGTCGCGCGGTGTGGCCACATTTCTATCTTTCACGATTGTGTAGTGCAAATGGCGATTAAATGCCTTCTTGAATTCGACAACATTCTCCACGGGTGCTATTCCGCGAATACTAATCTGTTTGCGTTTCTCGTGGTCTGACTGTGGTACAGAGGCCATGGCAGAACACAGTAATGAACCCTTCTGCTGTCTGCTTCCTTTACATTTACGTCCCTTCGTCCTTGGCCTACCGATCGCACTCAAGGTTATTGTACTATCCAAAACCCAACTCGTAACACAATCCGGATTAAGTTCACATGTAGCACGTAATCCGTTTGTTGATACACCGGTGTAGTGTATTAAAAGGTAGGTCTACGAAACAACGACTGATTACATGAACAAGCATGTGTATTTTGTTATTATATATGGCAATGAGATTTGGTTCTAGGGTTTTGTGTTAAGAAAATGTTTGTGTGGAAAGGGAAGGAAGGGGGGGGGGGGGGGGCTTTAATAATGAAAATTGAAAGTAGTTTACCTCAAACATTTATTTTCAAATAAAGCCAAAATAGGGAACTTTTCAAAATTGCACAGTTCCTTTTATGTATATATCTGTAACAGGAAAGGAGAAAATGTATGGCTCATGAACCATTATTTGAACCATGCAGATCCCTGTATCACTCTAGTTAGTTAACCACTGAGCTACCCAGGTTAATATATTACAATCCTCCCTCCTTATTTTAATTGCTTCACTTTCAAAGACACAACCAAATTAAGTTCCTTTTGCTCCTGGCAGGACTTTCGTTCACTTGCAGATGCAGGAGTGATCAATCGCAGCTAGTGCAGCTAGGAAAGGAGAAAAAATGTGACGAACTAGACCAGGATTCGAACCTAGGCCCCCTGAATCACAAGTCAAAGTGCTCTACCAACTGAGCTATCTGGGCACCTGCGATTAAACCTGCCTGACCACAACATTCCTCTCTCCTAAAAGGTCTTCAACCCGAAATCACCAATCCAGGCTCTTCCCTGTCAGGTCTTTTGCCTGTCACTTGGCATGGTACCAAATGTAACAAGAAAGGAGAAAAATGTGGTGGACCAGACCAGGATCCGAATCTGGGCCCCATGACTCGCTAGTCAGGTGCTTTACCAGCTGAGCTATCTGGCCACTGCTGATCATACCTGGCTGACCGCTATACATTCCTCCCTCCTTAAATGTCTTCTCCCCTGAAGATACCTGAGCCAATTACACATCAGTTGCAATGGTAGCATTGAGAAAATGTTATGGGCTTACCTAATTATAATAAATTCCTTGAAATTAAGACAGGTACTATTAGATTGAAATGATATAGTTATTATAAGCTTTCTGCGTGGTCACCACCAACTGATTGCCTGCCTGTATCACATTCCTCCTCCCTCGTCAGTCCTTCTCCCGAATATTTTTCTGCTCCAGTTTGGTCATCATCATCAATATTACGAATAAATGTTACAGGAACTCATGACGGAAAATGAGCAGTCCAAGACAAAGACATTAAAGGGGGAGGAATGTGCCAATGAGGCAGTCAAGTAGGTTTTGTTTCCTGGTGGTCAGATAGCAGTTGGTAGAGCAACTGAATCATAGGCCAGCCTACATCTATAACTCAAGTCTAAAATTTCTACTAGTGGGAAATATATCATACATTTTTGTGGGGGTTTAATTTTTTATTCCCCTGCCATAAAATGGATGGGGCAGATAGTGTTACCCCTTTCTGTCTGCCTTAATTCTGTCATTCCGTCGTAGTTTTTAAGTGACCCAATTTCACAATCTTACAAAAATCATGACCCTTAGGCATTGAAAATTTCTAACAATTTCCAGACTTTTTAGCTCACCTGAGCTGAAGGCTCAAGTGAGTTTTTCTGATAAAAAAAATGTGTCCGTTGTCTGTCGTCATTAACTTTTCACAATTTCATCTTCTTCTCCAGAACCACTGGGCCAATTGTGACCAAACTTGCCACAAAGCATCCTTGGGTGAAGGGGATTCAAGTTTGTTCAAATGAAGGGCCACACCCTCTTTCAAGAGGAGATAATTAAGAAAAAGTGAAAATTTGGTGGGGTGTTTTAAAAATCCTCTTCTCAAGAACCACCGGGTCAGGAAAGATGAAACTTATATGGAATCATCCTCAGGTAGTGTAGATTTAAGTTTGTTCAAACAATGACCCCAGGGGTTGGGGTGGGGCCACAATGAATAATCATAGTTTTACATAGGAATACATAGAAAATAACTTTAAAAATCTCCCTTTTCAGAACAACTGGGCTGGGAAAGATGAAACTTATATGGAAACATCCTCAGGAAGTTTAGGTTCAAGTTTGTTCAAACCATCGCCCCTTGGGGTGGGGGCAGGGCCACAATGGATGACAAAAGTTTTACATAGGAATACATAGGAAAAAACATTAAAAATCTTCTTCTCAAGAACAGCAGAGCCATATGATTAAACATATTTATATGGAAGCATCCTCAGGTAGTGTAGATTCAAGTTTGTTCAAATCATAACCCCCAGGGGTAGGGTGAGGCAAAAAATGGATGATCAAAGTTTTAATTCTAGTTCTGTGAAGAGGAGCTTTAGCAATGAATTTTATATCATAACTTCCTATGACTTACAGATGACCCCTTTTGATTTTGAGGTCAAGAAGGTGAAGGTCATCTATTCATAGGCTTCCAGATGATAACTCCTGCTCGCTCTCAAATCTTGCAATGAAATTTTAATACATCATTATTTCCTATGACTTGTTAAAGACCCCTATTAAAATTTAGGTCAAAAGTTCATGGTAATCAATTAATATATTGAATTATTTTGATTCTAGATGATTACTCTAGTTCTCTTTGAGCTTTTGCAATGAAACTTAAGGTGAAGACTCCATAAGTTTAGAAAGATCCCTATTGAAATTGGGGTCAAAAGGTGAAAGGTCAAGTTCAATCTTGCTTTTCTTTCTCCATCTGCATTTATTAGGTTTTCCACCCACTTATTTTGTCCTTAAGTGGGAGACACAAATTCCCTGAATAATCTTGTTATAATTTCATTTGCATGAAAAGTGTGATCACCTATTCATAAAGAAAATCAAACTTTTGAGTGTGTGAATGTGTTAACACAGAAGACTGAATTTAATATTTATTTTCTTATTATAGGACACTCCCATAAATTTACAAAATGTCTTCTACAAAAATTGGCAAAGATAAAGATGAATTGCTGGGTAAGCTTGCAGAGTGGAATATCCAGACAGAAACCATAGAACACCCACAGGTATGACCAGGTAAACACAGGTGAAAAAGACAGGTAGTAAGGGTCATTTTTGTGATATACTTGCAGGTATGTAAAATTATAATTTCTTTAGTACGGTAAAATAAGCTATGTGTATGAAGAGTGTAGATATTGTATAATATCTAAATAAAATATGGAAATTTACCCCCCAAAAAAAGAAAAAAGGAAAAATAGCAAAATGGTTTCTCGAAAATTCTTTTAGCTACAAAATCCAGACACTTCTCTTTCTCATGGAGCTATACATCATGATCTTATATCAGTAGATTTTCATTAAATTGTCAGCACCACCTATATCTTAGACATCAGGCTTAACATTTGCATAAACATGTTATAAATGTATAGAGCATTTAAATTTAACATTTTAAAATTCCTTTGCTAATCCAAAAAAAAAAGTAAATGAAATAGAATCTTATCAAGGAGTGAGATTACAGATAATTTATAGTGTAGTTTTTTATTTAAAGAAAGCTAGAATATCAATGATTTTAAATCCCTGATATGTTCTATGTTTTTATTTAAGGAATAACTGTCTAATTTTTTGGATTCATGATGTGATCAATCAAGTGGCTTGCGTGATAATTTGCATAAACGCCTTCGGCGTTTATGCATAAATTATCACGCAAGCCAATCGATTGATCATCGTCATGAATCAAAAAAATCTGACAGTTATTCCTTATATTTACATGCTCCTGATTCTGCAAATTCCCGTGCTAATAGCCCCGCTTCTGTCTCTATTTGTCCCGCCCCGCACGTGATTTTTTTTAACCGCGCCTATCGATGAACCAGTAGATTTATGTAGAAATAAAGTATTTTTACAATTTGTAATTTTATCTCGGACAAAGACATTGGAAATGTAAATATTAGTGTATATTAAATGAAAAAAATTCTTACTGGTATATCACTTTTTTTTTATTAATTAAATAAGATATCACCTGTAGCTAATAATATAATTACAATATGAAAATGTTAAAATTAACAGTAGATTGAATTATTTCAATAAATGCAGTAAGAACATATATTTTTTTTTTCTTTTGACAGGTGTTTACAGTAGAACAAGCTTTACCACACCTTGAAAACACAGAAGGCAAATTTGCCAAAAATTTATTTTTGAAAGACAAGAAGAAGAGGCTGTACTTATTCTGTGCCCCCCATGATGCAGAGGTTAAACTGAATGACCTTGCTAAAATGGTTGGGGCCTCTGGAGGGTTAAGATTTGCAGACTCCAGTGTATTGGAGGAAAAGCTTGGAATTCTGGAGGGATCTGTCACAGTATTTGGAATAATTAATGACACAGAAAATGAGGTCAAGGTTGTTTTGGACCAGCGTCTCCTTGATCAAACGTATCCTAAAGTGTGGTTCCATCCTATGGTCAACAGTGCTACCACCAGCATCTCGTCCAGTGACCTTAAAATCTTCATTGACAAAACCAATCATGAGCTTCTTGTTATAAATTTAAGCTGATACAATAAATTTTTAAACCAATAATTTTTTGTTTGATAAAATTTGATAAAATGATACCATTCCCAGTTTCTTCAGTCAAAGACTTGAAGAATTAAAAATTTCATTAGGTATGTGATAAAATACAGAACAGGCAAAAAAAAAAAACAAAAAAAAAGGAAGAGAATTTCCAAGTACTCATGATATTTTGTTAGAAGCAGCAATGTTGTTCCCCCAAGATTTGTCAAAGGTTGATAATAATCGACCTTAGTTTGAAAAAAAAAGATATTTTAGCACTGAACTTTTAATTTTTTTTGCCATCTCAATTTATCTATCAAGGTTAAAGACTTAATTTTAGCATTTATGCCTTTACCCAAAGGATACTTTGTGACCAACATAAATCTTGGATAAAAGGTTTTTAAAATTTTTCCAATTTCATAGCACATTTCTATGAATATTTTATGCTTGAAATTCACATTGAAATATACTAGTATGTAACTTCATATGTCCTACAGTTCAAAAAATTTAAGCTGCAAAAATGAAACAGCACAAGCTGGAGTCTTTGGCTCAGTTGAGCCAACAAATAACATTCAATCCTAGTGAAGATTCTGATGTAATGTTTTCTTAAGACTTCAGCAATTTCATATTTGTAAAACAATGGACCTGTTTTTTAACCATATGTGAATTGAAAATTTAGTCATTCAGTCAGCATCTATGTACTATTTGTGTATGGTTCAAAGAGTACAGCAGGGTTGCAAATAACTACTCACAAAGTAATTTTGGCTCTAGGGGACAAACTTTTAAGGATGTAATTATTTTACTGGAACTCTTCCAGAACCCAACTGTGGTTTGATTCTACTATTTAAAAAAGCACTTTCATTTTCACTGTTTCCAACCTTGAATTTTTTTTATGCCCCGCCATGAATATGGCCGGGGCATATAGTGTTTGTTCATGTCCGTCTTCCATCCTTCCATCTGTCTTTCCGTCACACTTTGCGTTTAGCTCTGTTCAAAGTTCAGTTTCAAAGAAACTATCCAAAATATTTTTTTCAAACTTCATATCCTGATAGATATTGATGAGAGCTATGCAACTGCATCAACATTTTTTGACCTTGACCTTTCATTTGACCCTGACCTCACTTTCCTTAAATTAGTGTTTAGCTCAGTTTTAAAGATACCATTCAAGGTAGTGTAATCAAACTTCATACGTTGATACATACTGATGTAAGCTATTCCACTGCATCAAAATTTTTTGACCTTCACCTCTCATTTGACCTTGACCTCACTTTTCTTAAATTAGTGTTTAGCTCAGTTTTAAAGATACCATTCAAGATAGTGTAATCAAACTTCATATGTTGATACATACTGATGTAAGCTATTCAACTGCATCAACATTTTTTGACCATTCCTTTGACCTTGACCTCACTTTTCTTAAATTAGTGCTTAGCTCAGTTTTAATGAAATCGTTCATATTTTTATCAAACTTCATATGCTGATACATACTGATGAGAGCTTTTCAACTGCATCAATATTTTTTGACCTTGACATTTCCTTTGAAATTGACCTCACTTTTCTTAAATTAGTATTTAACTCAATTTTAAAGATATCATTCAAAACAGTGTTATCAAACTTGATATGTTAATACATACTGATGAGAGCTATTCAACTGCATCAACATTTTTTGACCTTGACCATTCCTTTGACCTTGACCTCACTTTTCTTAAATTAGTGTCAAACTTCATATTCTGATACATACTTATGTAAGCTATTCAACTGCATCAATATTTTTTGACCTTGTCCTTTCCTTTGACTTTGACCTCACTTTTTTCAATTTGTGTTTAACTCAGTTTTAAAGAAAACATTTCAATCATATATATTTTTATCAAACTTCATATGCTAATACATACTGATGTAACCTTTTCAACTATGTCAACATTTTTTTACCTTTCCTTTGACCTTAACTTCATTTATTTTAAATTAGTGTTTAGCTCAGTTTTAAATAATCCATTCAAAATATTTTTATCAAACTTAAATATGCTGATAGGTATTTGTGAGAAGTATTCAACTGCATCAAAAACATTTCACCTTGAACTTTCCTGTGACCTTGACCTCACTTTTCTTAGATTTGCATTTTGCTTAATTTTAAAGAAACCATTTAAGATATATTTATGTAAGTTTATGCACTTGTACATAATTTGGCAAGAATTTATCATCTATATCCACTTTTTAGATTTCAATTTCAATTTTAAAGAAACTATTCAAGATATTCTCATCAAATTTCATACACTAATACAAATTTTCATGTTGCATTACTAATATACCCTCGGTGGGGCATTCATGTCCTATGGACATATTTCTAGTTTAGACCTTGAATCGTGTCAACTTTATGAATATGTGAGGTCTTAAGTGAAGGAAAACACAGAATTTTATATGTAAGTGGTACAGGTCACCATCAACAGGAAAATAAAAGATTGTACTTCTCAGAGATTATGATAGGAAAAGAATAACATTTCTTTTTTATTAAGTGGAAAGAAAATTGCGGGCCCCAAAATATCAATATGGGCTACTAAACTTGAAAAGTTGTGGGTCCACATGGCTTCTTAGTTGTAAAAGTTATTTTCAACCCTGAACAGTTCATGTCAGTGTCAACCACCATCAATCATGTATATACCAAATGATGTTAATTTAAAAACACACTGAATCAAATTAAAGTCTTGTAAGTTTACTTTTTTAATTAGTATTTTTCTTCTTAAAATACATGAGTGAAAAGATACATCCATAACAGAGACAAGTTCAACAAACAGTATTACACATGAAGAGAAATACATGTACTTTATAGTGTATACCTTAAAAAATGAAGATTCCATGAATGACTGCCTATAAACGGAAACAATTTCCTTAATATAAACCAGGATATCACAGAAAAACATAGACTTGTCTCGATCAACATAAAACATGCACATAACAATAACAATCCCCCTTCTGTAACTTAAGAATAATCCAGTAAGATATTAAAAAAATAGTCTATAGTCAACAGCAATAAAAATCTTATAATATATTAAAACTCTAACAAAAGCTCTATGTCTCCTTATAGCTTGAATATTTCTATACTATATATTAACTATGGGTCATAAAATACACATACAGAAGTCTATCTATTTATTACTTATATTGAAAAATTGAATATTAATGGACACTGTTCATCAGTGCCTCAGTCAAGCAAGATCAACTTTCTACAAAACTTATGTTTCAGAGATCAACAAATGAGTTTGATGAATTTCATTATAATAATTTCAAATTAAAATGCATGTACGATATATATATGTGTATTTTCAATGATATGCAAGTGAAATATTCGTAGGAATTTCCAGGTAATTGATGTAAAATTTAATTTTTTTTAAAAAATATGTTGTTTTAAAACAGGCTTGTGGGCCACAATGTTCACCTGATTCACCTTGACACTGCTGTTCTTCAAATTTATTTTTAAAAACTTCTATATTTCAATGAAAAGTTTTAACTCCATAGTGCAGTGCCAACCTAGCAACAAGGACTTTACCAAACTTCAATCAACCTTACATGTACTCCTACAAGTAAGAGCCTCTGGTAATGTCTCTACCTTGTATACCTCGTTACACAGCGCCAAGTCAAAAGCATCTTGCCATGAACCTCTAGCATGCTGAAGTACCTTACACGGAGATGCTGAATATCAATATGATTAATTTTCTATATGTATGTACACATTTTCACCCGTGTTATTTTGGCATTGATTATGATTTGAAAAAATTTGAATCTCAACTCATTAAGGAATTTTCACATAAGTTTCATCTTTTCTGATTCATGAGATTTTTAATTGATCCCACCCTGTTTTTGTCTTGATATTCTCTCTGCTGAAAGAGGGATGGCTAAAAAAAATTAACCCCCTTCACCCAAGAAATCTCTGTGCTAAGTTTGGTTCAAATTGGCTCTGACAGTTGTTCTGACAAGTCAAAAATGTAAGAAGTTAACAGATGGACAAACAAATGGATGTACAACAGACCAAAAAAACTTTGAACAGAAAACCTCACCGAGCCTTTGATTCAGGAGAAGTACATGACTACAAGTGAATCTAAGAAAAAAAAAAACAGTGAAATTCGTATCAAACTCTTTTACCACACACTCAATAAAAAAAAAACATTGTATAGTAAGAATGGCACATACAGGTTTACAAACATACAAAGTCAAATATTAATATACACAACACCTCTGATACCAAGCTGACATCCATTAAAAATTTCTTCCAAGCAAATCTAAGCCCACATAGAATTCTTCCCTTGTGTGAGCAGAAAACTTGGGGACTTTTTGATACATCTAGTGGAAGTAAAAAAAAAAAAAATCGAGTTTTGTGAAATGAAGTACAGTCAAAATAATGCTTTAGTACAATAGACTAAGTTACACTGTAGCTATACAAACATATTCACTGCATGCTAGCATAACTCTTTATATTGCACAAGATGAGAAGAATATACATACAAAAACTGAATTCTCTTCATATTCTGCACCAAATGAATCCTTTCTACGCTTGTACACTAATAATACTAGTCAACAACATGATTATCTACAGAGCTAAGTAAACTAGGGAAACATATGCCCCCACGTGTCTACTTCTACCCCTTGATTCCAACTCAAAAATGTTGGAAGTTTCTTTGTCACAAATTTTATATACTGTATTTATATACTGTTAAGAGGTTTTATTTTTTTATCATTATTAATATATACTCAGTTGAAGAACTTAACTAAGGCCATACAGGATAACAAGCTGCTTCCATTATACATATGGAATATGTATATGGCAAAATGTATACCATTTAAAAGTACAAAGTCATACACACATGCAGACACACCACAACAAAAATCTTACAAGAGCAAAAATAATTGTGCCTATCTTCTACTTTAAAACCTTGTTCACATAAACAATCAATCACAGGTATGGTGAAAATATTCAAATTATTATTATTTTTTGTTGTTGTTAAATTTAAGCTGCCAATTTAGATCACCTTGCACAAAATATG